AAAGTCTTTGTTCCTTTGAGAAAGAATTTCTGGTTCATTTTGTAATTTTGGGAATAACGAGTAAGAGGGTGAGCTATTACAATTGAAGGGGAGTTGCTACAAGAGTTTGGAATGTTCATTGGGACCCCATTCTGCATGGAACTGCAATATTTGGGAGGCCAAAATGCCGCACTTTCTACACGCTGTGGTGTAGGGGTAACTTTCGAACTTATATGGGGCCCGCAAAAAACCCAGGACAAGCTCACGGCAGTCAAGAGTTAAGCGACTAACTGCAGGGGAAACGTCTCCGGCCATTGGCAGGTAAAAAATTTTTGTCCACTTTGAGAAATTGGGGGGGGCCTCAAGCTGTTGCAGAAGTCGTCAGCACATGTCTGGAAAAAAAAAAGTGAAGACGGGACCATGCAAGAATTGGAGAATGGTTTTTTGAATTGGTCAGGAAAAGCTTTAGGTGGTAAGGAAGAAAGACTTGAGCCTGGCTAGTAAAGTATGAGCGGGCCTGCTTTGAGAGTTTGAAAAGGGAAATTTTAGCCAACTGATGTGGAGCGCCTTGTGAGATGTGATCAGAAAAGTCTGAGGAAATTTCCTTTGTTTAAAAGATCTGTAAATGTAAAGAGACGATTGTCGAGGGGCTTTTCTGAGTAGAGCAAAGGCAATCAAGCGTGTCATCAGAGAAAAAGGTTCCCTGGTCGTTTAGATGCGGACGGAGGTTGTTCTTTTGGAGGGTAGGCGATCGAAAACCCTTGCCCCCTTTTGGGGGGATGCCAAAGCTGGTCAAAGACTGTGAGTCGGATGTACAAAGATCGGCCTACCCCGGTATCAGGAGCGGCGACAAAAGTCACTTAAGAAAATTAGGGAATTAAAAGGTTGAGGATGGGCAGGGGCAAGGCAGGGGGTATAGGGGGCTGCTACGACAGGGGCCGGGGGGAGCAGGGCTTCATGGTTTTTTACTCCTGTGGGGCTCTGTTTTCTTTTATTTTTTTTGGGGGGGGGGGAAAAGGGGAAAAAAAAAAGGGGGGAATGGGAGGGGGAGTCCTAGGGGGAAGAAAAGGGGCCTAAATTCCCTATGGCCAAAAGGGGCCTTTGCGCAGCCAGTAGAGCAATGTGGCAGGAACTCGTCCCTACCCCCTCCCTTATGCCCTAAAAACCCAAAAATTTTGGGGGTAGCACCTCACATCTACTGGCACCCCAGTGGAAAAAAGAGAGGGCGGTCAAAAAACCCCCACAAAGCTACCCCTTCGGCCCCACCCCCTGGAATCCGAAAGGGAGTTCTGAGATCACCAGTCATTTGGAGGCACTCAAAACCCTTCCCCGGTAGACTAGAGGTGATTGGGATCTCCCCACGATCGATTCCCAGCAAAATACACTTCCAAAAAACCTAAGGAATGGAATGGACCACAGTACCCCCCTCCAACCAAAGGAAATAGAATGCTGAGGAAGGACCCCTTAAAGGTTAAAAAAAAGAAAAAGGGGAAAGGGGGGTTTAAAGGGGGGGGATGGGAAAGGGGTAGGGAGGATGGGGGCAGGGATGGTGGGATTGGGGGGTAATTAGGTTTTATAGGAGGAATAACCAAGGTCAATCCCCAGAAAAATAGCCTCTTTGCCGCAGGGAAACGCCCCCTCCCCGTTTGATGATTTAGGCAAAATAAATCATTGCCTTTTCTAGAGTTTTTAAATTTAAAAAGGAAGATGATTTTAAATTCAATTTACAAAAAACCAACAAATAATGTTCCCTGTACACTGTTATTTATCACATCAAAATAAAATTAATTGTCTGTATTTCTTATCAGGTTTTTTTAGAGCTTTGCGCATTTGCAGCTCAGAGTTTTTTAGAGAAGAAATCTCGAAAAAATGAAATACCCAATGATCAAAAAACCCAAAAAACTTAAATGAAAATCTTTGAAAAAAAGCTTCGAACAAAGCACTCCAGGATGATTTCAATACACTGATGCAATGGTCGGAGAAGTGGCAGATGCAGTTTAATATAGGCAAATGCAAAGTTCTAAAGGTTGGACAGGACAATAACCATGCCACATACAAACAAAATAATGTAGATCTTAATACTACGGATTGCGAAAAGGATTTAGGAGTTCTGGTTAGCAGTAATCGAAAACCAAGACAACAGTGCATTAGTGTTCGCAATAAAGCTAGCAGAATCCTTGGCTTCATATCTAGAAGTATAAATAATAGAAGTCCTCAGGGTGTTCTTCAACTCTATATATCCTTGGTTAGGCCTCATTTAGACTATGCTGCTCAGTTCTGGTCACCGTATTACAGAATGGATATAAATGCACTGAAAACGTACAGAGGAGGATGACAAAGCTGATCCCATGTATCAGAAATCTTCCCTATGAGGATAGACTGAGGGCCCTGAATTTGCACTCTCTCGAAAGGCGTAGAATTAGGGGAGATATGATTGAGGTGTATAACTGGAAAACAGGAATAAATAAAGAGGATGTAAATAGTGTGCTGAAAATTTCCAGCCAAGACAGAACTCGCAGCAATGGTTTCAAGTTGGAAAAATTCAGATTCAGGAAGGATATAGGAAAGCACTGGTTTGGTAATAGAGTTGTGGATGAGTGGAACAAACTCCCGAGTACAGTTATTGAGGCTAAAACGTTGTGTAGTTTTAAAAATAGGTTAGATAAATAATGCACGTTACAAGGCTTCTACAGACATATTACGTCACTTTCTGCACGTCACAAGGCTTCTTCAGGCATATAACGTCACTTTCTGCCCGTCACAAGGCTTCATCAGACATTTCTCTTCTTGGTATTTGTTATTAGGGTTTTTTCGAACGTGTTTTTTTAAAGTTATCAAAAAAGAAACAAAAGGATCAAGATAGAGAACAATATACTATGTATTTCAAATATGAAAATGTAAGTGATCAAGAAAGCAATAAAGTAATGAAGACAATCAAAGTGATCACTTTTAGCATTGTAACGAAGAGATCCAAATCAAGTGATCAATATAGCATTAAATGATCGATTAGCAATTTATAAGCAATTTAACTTTGTAAGGATCAGGCTACAATATAATGGTAAAGTAGCAATTTAATGGAAAGATAGCAAATAACGATCAAGAAGAAAATTAAGGGGCAAGATAGAAAATTTTAGTAACGACAGCAATACTATGATCAAGATATCAATATAAGGGAAGAAGAAGCATAAAGTGGCAAGATAGAGACTATAAGTGAATAAAAAATATAATTATTTTAAATAAATAATCGAGTTAGAAATCGATGACAAATAACAAAAAATTTGGTAAGATGGCAATATAAAAATCAAGTTAGAAAATTGGATAAAGAAAAGATACAATAATTGTAAAGAAGATATAAATAAAAATAAAGTGGTCAAGATAGCAATAATAATCAATTTACAATACAATATAAGTAGCAATATGATGATCAAGATAAAATAAGTGATCAAGATAAAAAAGGGGGTAAAGAAGCAATACAAGTAATCAAGATAGCAATGCAAGGGCAAGATAATAAAAGGGTCAAGATAAAATAAAAATTCAACAAAATACAAGGGGTAAAGATAGCAATAAAGTGATAAAGCTACAATAAAAGTGTCAAGATGAATATAAAGGGGTCAAGATAATTAAGGTCAAATAAAAAAAGGGTTTCAAGATAGCAATAAAAGTGACAAGCAGCAATATAAGAAATCAAGATAGCAATATAATTGGTCAAGATAGCAAAATAAGGGGTCAAGACAGCAATATAATTTAAAGATAATAATATCAAGATACTATTAAGGGGCAAATTAGAAATATAAGTGGTCAAATAATATAAGGGGTCAAGAAGCAATATAAGTGGTCAAGATGGCTTTAAAAGGGGTCAAGACAGAAATAAAAGTGTCAAATAGCAATATGTGGCAAGATAATATAAGTGGTCAAATAGCAATATAAGTGGCAAATAATGAAGTGGTCCAATGGCATTATAAGGGGCCCAAGACAGCAATATAAGTGGCAAGATAGCAATAAAAGTGGCAAGAAGCAATTAAGGGGTCAGATACCAAAATAAGGGGTCAAGTAAAATAAGGTCAAGATAGAAATAAGGGTCAAGATAACTATAAAGTGGTCAAATTAGCAATAAAAGTGGTCAAGAAATATAAGTGGTCAAGATGTGTAGAATGGTATAAATACCGACAAGATGAGATTAAGACACTTGAAACACGGGGTATCTTTTTTGTAGACGTTTCGCCATCCTGGCTTTACAATACAAAATTCAGGACATAACTTGAAGACAGTAAAACTTGTACAAAGGGGGTAATCATCCCCAACCTGGGAGTAGTGCGAAAGCACCATATCGTGGAGAATCTGAAGCAAAGAAAGGAGCCTGGCGCTTTTTCAGACATGTACATAACCTCACGACTACGACAACTACTACACAAATAACCCCATCTTTTGGGGGAAAGGACCTGCTTCCCCTGGGGAAACCCGCCTCCAGTGAATATGCCTTCGTCTGCTACACCTGACGTTTACTATATAAGCGCCAGGCTCCTTCTTCTGCTTCAGAATCTCCACGACTACGGTGCTCTCTCGCACCTACTCCTAGGTTGAGGGACTGATTACCTCATCTTCTGTACATAGTTCTACTGTCTTCAAGTTATGTCCTAGAATTTGTATTGATAAAGCCACTGGATGGCGAAACGTCTACAATAAAGATACCCAGATGTTGCACATGTGTCTTAATCTCAAGTGGTCAAGATGGCAATATAAGTGGTCAAGATAGCAATATAAGTGGTCAAGATAGCAATATAAGTGGTCAAGATAATGTAAGTGGTCAAGATAGCAATATAAGTGGTCAAGATAATGTAAGTGATCAAGATAGCAATATAAGTGGTCAAGATAATGTAAGTGGTTAAGATGGCATTATAAGTGGTCAAGACAGCAATATAAGTGGTCAAGATAGCAATATAAGTGGTCAAGATAGCAATATAAGTGGTCAAGATAGCAATATAAGTGGTCAAGATAGGTAGCAGTACAAATCATATCTTTACCAATATTAGCGTTCATGTTCTTCAGTTCGTCCTTCTGCGCCGCCAGGCTGGTGACGTGGTCGGGCAGGTAGTCGTAGCCGAATTTTGCGAACTGGGAGTAGGATGCGAGGTCGTACTGGGTAGCTGGTGCTGACGACCAGGTCATATGAGGTGCCAGCAGGTGTTGGGCGGCAGCTGCTGCACCAGGGGCGCCAGTAGACCAGGCAGCTGCTGCTGTAACATATCCAGACTAGTTAGTGATGCGCCAAGTAGCGTGGGTTAGTGATGATTAGGATTATTGTTGTGGCTGTAATTGTTGTGGCTGTAATTGTTGTGGCTGTAATTGTTGTGGCTGTAATTGCTCTTGTGATTGTTGTTGTTACTGTGGATATTTTTTTGTTGTTGTAATGTTGTTACAATTAATTAATTATTATTATTATTCCATTTATCATTATGGAATAATAAAATAAGGAAGCGTTCAACCCGCATGGGTAGTGTAGTGCCTGGAGAGTGGGAAGTAATTATTTTTGATCCGAGGAAGACAAGGGATCTCCAGTTTCTTGAATCAAGAGCTCGTCTTCCCTCAGCAATAAGATTCTCTCCTTCACCTTGAAGGAAATGAAAAGTATAAGAGATAAGGAAGTCTGAGAAGATGGGAATCTTGCAACAAGAGATAAGGAAGTCTGAGAAGATGGGAATCTTGCAACAAGAGATAAGGAAGTCTGAGAAGATGGGAATCTTGCAACAAGAGATAAGGAAGTCTGAGAAGATGGGAATCTTGCAACAAGAGATAAGGAAGTCTGAGAAGATGGGTATCTTGCAACAAGAGATAAGGAAGTCTGAGAAGATGGGAATCTTGCAACAAGAGATAAGGAAGTCTGAGAAATGGAAACTTGCAACAAGGGTAAGGAAGTCTGAGAAGATTTAAATCTTGCAACAAAGATAAGGGGAAAAAAT